GTTTCTACTCAGATGGCGTTGCTTTCATATTATCTATCAAGGACGCCTCTGGGGGAATATAATGCCGACTTGATCTTTGTTGGCCTAGGCTATGCTTAGTCGGCGGTCTTAGGACTGCTGGCTGGAGACTGCCCTGATGCACTGATGAGAGTCAAATAGCTCGAAACTGGTCTGTAGGTGTCTAGCGTGGCCTGCATGGCTAAATCGAAATCAATTGGCATTCAGGAAAGAAACACTTGTATCAGTATTCTTTTATACCAGTCGATGCATAGATTTCGGGAGGATGTAATTCAATGTTCTGCGTGGCATTTGTCAGGAAAGTAGTTCAAAATCCGGGGGTTGTTCTTTCCCCTGGTAAGGGTTTGAAGTTATACGGCTTATGAAGAAAGCAGACAAGTCGTTCTCCCCCAAATCAATCAGAAAAATTATATACAGAGTGGTAGTGAAGAACTGCGACAAACTTCAACTTGTGATATTTTAGGAAATAAATTTCATATAAACATGTGTCCTAACTTGCTTCGTTTTTGATATACAGGATGTTGAAGTTTGAAGTATTAATTGTTTTCATTTATAGGTGCCAAAATTCGGTATAGTTGGATAGGTACTGAAAAAATCCTGAAATTTCAAAATGATTCTTATTGAGGTTATTGAGTAATCAGTGATCTGTCAAATCGAATTTTTATTGTTTTCTCAAAAACTAAGCAAGATTTTAAAAAACACGAAGGATAAGGAATAAGAAGCTGATATTTCAATTGTTCAATCTGTTAAAAATATGAAAGTCAGAAAAACCAGTGGCATACGATGATATCAACCGTAAATATCGATAAATTAACCAACAGTGACGCCACTGAAAATATTATTACGAATCTAATCATATCAAAAGAAGCTTCATGTTACATTCAACGAAACCACCAAGTTTCATTGAAATTGGTAAAGAGACATTTGAGTAATGATAAAAAAAACGATTTTTCATGGAAAAATTAATACCCTGTATCTCGAAAACGAAGCCAGTTAGGGCACATGTTTATAAAATCTTCATTTCCTGAACTATCACAAGGAATCACCCCTTGAAGTTTCTCGCACTTATTCACTAACACCCTGTATATTTTGAAGTTGCTATACGACAGTTTACTTTATAGGCACACCTTATTGGAGTTTCTACCTATCTGTTTTCGCCCTGTATACTCTCGTTCCAAAATGAAATGGATGGTTTATTAGGTTTAGTTTTCCTCATATTGGTAGGAGAAGCTCTCATTATCCTTTTGGAGTATGTTGAGGAATTATATTCGTATGAACATCTTCAGTGTCGAGAAAAGCATATTATATCCTGCTATCATCATAGCCTATGAAGGGATGATTTGGTGTATAAGGGTATTCACAGTATCACTACAGTATCAGATCTCTAAGGACGAAAACATAGAGAAGGAGTTGCTATTTCGATAATGGGCTACAGGATTTTCAAGAAATCATAGCCTCTAAACGTTCAAAAACAAATTGTAATACCAATTTTCTCTCCTTATCCTTCATAGGAATGCACAATCTTCCTTGAGCCTCATAGGAATTCCGTTCCGTGAGCTCATAAAGATACTATAGGAAGATAATCCAGAACTCAACCCTTCTTTGATTGATAACTTCTCAACAGTCAAAGTTCCCAACGTTTCGTTCCTAGCTAGAATGTTACTTCTATATCGCGTAGATTGATAATAAACCTAATGGTTCTCCAGAAATAAAATCGATTCAACTGCCTCCACGAAAATTTGAAAGAAAAATTTTCCCATGTAATTTGAACCTATCATATCCACGTATTTGTGGCGAAGTGACCAGTGGACGAACATTTAAATGATTATTTCCCTCATATATCGGTAATTGCACTGCAGAGCGAAGTTTGCACTGCGGAGAGATCCCGTCACCATAACAACACATTTATAAAACAATGTCGCTAGACAAATAAATGTCAGAAAAGTGATAACAATGTGAGTGCTCCATACATTCTATCGAGGAAAGTGTAAATGAAAGTGGACCAAAAAATACCAAATCCAACAGACAGAATTCCTTACTTCGTGGATTATTCCAATAAATTACATTCGTGCATGAAAATGACCAGACAATTTTGCATCAAAGCGTGTTTTCTAATGCAAATTGCATTTGTTTATTTTCATATTTTGTAAAAGAGCCCTCCTCCTTCGGACTCGGGCCTTTCGCCAAAATATGAAAATAAATTCTTGCAATTTTTAGATAACAGGCTCACTTGCAAAATTATCGGTAATCTTTATGCACTTGTGCAATTATAGCCGATAAGTGCCCCAGTGAATTGTCACCGTTCAAAAATCGAAGCACCATGGTAATGACATAGTTTGATGTTAGCTCAATCAAATTTTCAAATGTCATTCACATCGACTAGTTATGGAAATATCTGAAATGAGTCGATTCCAATGGGCGTGTACACCTTAGTAGAACTTTTAACTCAAACCATGTTTATAATGATCCTTTTATACATAAATAATGATTGACGACATAATTCGATCAAAAAATTAACTGGGAATATTTTATTTTTGGTCATAAATAATAGTACCTTCTGAAAACGGATCCTCTTATGACGTAGAAACCTCATCTCGCCATAGTTAAAAGAAAATACCATAAGCCCGACGGAGACTGAGGCAACTGATATATTATTAATCCTTTCAACTGTGATCTCGCTTCTCGCGCTAATTCACTCTGTCAGAAATCATGTATCATTCATCTCTGTCTAGAATAGTCTTGTTTCAGTATTAGGGTTTTGACGTCACATCATCGCCTCGTTTTCAGAGTTCCGAGAAATCGGGGATTTCAATAATTTTTTATAAAACGTAGGAAGCTCACAGCAAGAAACGGTTTGCGGTGGTGAGCCAGTTTGGGTGAGTTCTATCGAATTATGAAATAAATTTTTTTGTGATATAAGCCCATTCTATGAGAATAATTTTCTTACTGAATATCCCTCGACTAGTGATAAATTCTCATAATTTGTCTAAACTTTCCGCAAACGAGTTGCTTTCAGGTAACAGCCCTCCGCCTTCAGCCTTATTCGGCGTCGCGCTGTTACCAAGCCAATCGCTTTCGACAGAATGCGACAAATTATTTCGAAATTATCAATAGCCTTGGGATATTATAAGTGAGAAGTACCTAACGTTTCATTTTTCTCGAACACCTGTTCTCTGCAAGTTGTTCAACTACTCTTACGAATTGGGGATATTCCCGTCCAACTGGATAATTGCAAGAGTACACCAGTTCCTGAAAAAGGCAAAAAGACCCTACCTAGCAACTACCCACCGATCGCACTGCTATCTATTAATTCAAAGATCATGGAGAAAGCTATAAACATGCTATAAACATCATGAAATACCTGGAACATTCGTCAGGTATTATCAACGGTAGGCAATATGGCTTCCGTCAGCACACATATATGGCAGCAATCTATTGAAAAATATGGTGAAAGCTTAGTCGTGGCACTTGATATCTTCAAGGCATTCGATCGAGTCTGGCACCACGGACTCCTCGCCAAGCTTCCATCTTATGGCTTGCCTCCCCAGCTATGTTCTCTGCTAGCTAGTTTTCTCTCAAACAGGTCTCTCCATGTAGTGGTCGACGAAGTTTCATCAGACTCTCTTATCATAAATGCTGGTGTCAATTCTAGCATCAACACTATTTCTACTCCATATCAACAATTTGTTGGAAGCAACTTTATGTCCAGTACACAGCTTCGCGGATGATAGTACCCTCCATACCGCCTTCTCTTCCAGGGCTCCAATACCAGCCAGGCAAATCAGAAACGAACGAGGGAGAAATTTTGACAACATAAATATGGACTTGGCAACAATTCTCGTATGGGGATCCAATAACTTGGTAGATTTCAATGCAAACAAAATACAAGCATGCATGCCTTTTCTCTAGAAAAGCCGATCTCACTGTGCCCAACATGAGCTTGTCAGGAGTAACCATACATCCATTTCGATGCTTGGTATCACTATCAGCAATAACCTTTTTTGGTAAAATCACGTGAAATCAATTGTTAAAGTGCATCCCAAAAATTTGGTTTTCCATTTCGGGCCAGGAGCTATTTCACTTCCAGTCAGCTGCTTATAATCTATAAGGCATAGATCCGACCTGTCCTGGAATACTGTTCCCATATTTGGAGTGCAGCACCCAAACATACCCTGAAACTGTTGGATTCTGTCCAAAAAAGGGCAATTCGTCTCGTGGGTGATGCCTCGCTCACAGAAATCACTCATACTTCTCTGGAAAACCGTAGAAAAGTTGTCGATCTCGTTCTATTTTATAGATATTCTCTTGGACGATGCTCTTCTGAAATATCAACAATTGTTCCTCCCTTGGCAGTCCCCGCGAGATTGACCCGTAAAGTTGAGGATTCGCACCCCTTCATGGTCACTTTTCAGACCTGCAGAACATCTCTCTCCAAAGACTCGTTCATCCAACGAACAGCGAGGCTCTGGAACACATTGCCAATGGGGGTGTTCCTCGAGGCATACAACCTCCAGAAATTTAAGAAGAACACCAATTCCTATACCTCATTTTCCTTGGTTCTCACGATGTTCTCTGAACATAACAGGATATCCCTTTTCGTGGGAACCAGAACATAAAAAAAAATCACGACCTCGAACAAAGTACTTAATGCCAGTTGATCTGAATTTAACATTTCATACTCATATTTTAATAAAAATACCGTGGCCCACATTTTCCTGTCATTTTGAAGTTAAAAAAAAATTCCAATACCTACCTCCTATCCCTAACCTCCCTAGGAACGCACGATGTTCTTTGAACATTATAGGGATTCCCTCTCGTGCGCTCCAAGCGATAAAAAAAATGAGAGTGAATTCGTTCTGGAAACGTCCAAAGATGAGTGAACATTTTCAATATATCGATTTTGACAACTTTGGTATCAAGAAAAACTGGGTAATCTACAAATTGAATCTTTCAATGAATGAATATTAAGGACAGAACTGCTGTAGGAATATTTTTATTTACTCAAAAACACAAAATATTCACAAAATCTTCACAACTAAATGAATACAATCAATAAAACAACAACAGTCAACTTTGATTGAAAACATCTAAGTTAGTAAACGTACGAATTTGAATTGAGAATAAACAACCCCAAATTGATATACTAAACTTCACATTGAAATCAATGTTGGGAACTATCAGCCCAACTGTGGAGAGCAAGGTGTATTTTTTTAGTGTGGTGGTACACATTTTTTTTTGTTTGAGTTGTTGGAATATTATTTTTAATAGAGTTGTTTATAGTTGAAGTTGAGAACTGTCCCAAGTATGGGCGATTGACTATACCAATTTTAACAAAGTTGGTATTAAAAAAACTGAGAAATCTACAAATTGAATCTCTATGAATAAATAAATAAAGACAGAACTGTTTTAAGAACATTTTTAATTACTCGAAACACAAATTATTCACAAAATCATCACAACTAAATAAATAAAATCAATAAAACAACAACAATCTACAAATAACCAAAACTAAATAGTCGTCAAATTCATCTCTCACTATACCCCCTGATTGTTCCAAAGGACTTCCCACCCTTATTCGCGTATGCTGCCCCGTTTCTATAGTACTTGGCATCGCCTTGTGCCCCATTGTACCCGCTGTCTTCGTCAAGAAACCGCCCTTTGTCACTTAAACCTCTTGCCCCGTATTTTCCATCTTCGAAAGCGGCGTCCAGGCTGCTACCTTTGGCAGCAGCACCAGCTTCAGAAGCAGCTGCATTGTCAAAATTACCATATCTATAATAACAATATACGTACACTATTCATACCTTTTCTGAAATCATCATGAATATCAAAGTCGTCACTTTATACATAGTATAGGATATAATAAGTTTGAAATGCTTTTTTACATAGAGAGAAAACATGCAGGCAATATCAGAAAGCAATATAATGTACAGGGTGATTTTATATTTGAATTACAATCCTTTAAAAAAGAATAGGTGTAACACAATCACGAAAGGATTAAAAAAATAGCAAAATAATTGAGGGTTTTCATTCAAAAATTTAGGGGTGTTGCCTTGACGGTGTAGGGGTTAAAATGAAAGTTATCTAACAACAAATGCCTCAAAAATAAGAAATATCGTTTTTGAATTGCCAGTATTTATTCGTTAACAGACGACTGTCGAAATTTGCAACCGGATCTCCTACTAATAGGTTAGATTGTCGATAGAACGCAATAAAACGAACATTCAAAGAATAGACGAGTGGACTTATTTTTTTTTATTTCCTAAATAGAATCATCACTCAGATACCTTTCAATTTCATATTCTTTAAAAAAATTTCGTTCGATTTTTAGGTGCTAAAATCATCAATAATGTCACGGTAATTTTCAAACGGCTAGAAATTTACCGCCAGTACAAACTGACGCCATGCACAGTTGCCATGTGTTGAAATACGATTGGGAACTCCAGAAATATAAGTTTAACAATAATTCATAAATTCTCAATTGAGTATTGGTAATATTCTAATATTCCTTATTAGCAATAAAAATTCAATTGTCTCAGAATGTTCCCTTATGATTTCTGGCTCATTGCTTATAATAAATTTGTGTGAATAATAATTATATTGATTCACACTAGAGAACATTAGGATCGCTGAACGTGACGACCCCGCGCATGACCTGTGGGCGTGGTCTTGTCAGTTCTAAGCTAAATGTTGCCAACTCTCCAACATTCACATGATATTTCGTTCTGGAGAATAAGAAATATCTGGACATCCTGGTTGCTTGAGAAAGTCTAGAATGAACTAAAATGTCATGAGTTCCTCCTATTATGTTTTATTCAACGACAGGACTCAAACATCTTTTTGATAATTTGATTATAACTGGTAATTTGACATCCTTACATCTTGAGTGGAAATGGAAGATTATCTGACCAATAACGAAACAGCATAAAACCTGACGTCACCATTTATTCGACGTATCGCCAAATGGCCGCCATGACGTTACGTTTGAAATAAGCTCTGTAATTCAACGATTTTGAACAACGCATAGAATATTATCCACATAAAAAAGCGTAAGAAGTGTTGCAAAAATTAATTTATCTAAAAATATGGAGTCATTCACACATTGCTCACTCGATTTTCAACATTTAATGACAGACAATATTGTGATGAATCGAGTAATAAGAGCAATAATGACAGTATAGGATAGAGGACATTGCCAGGCTATTTGGTATTCTCTATAGAGGAACAGCTGCAAAAGCAATTCCTCAAAATATGGCAGGACACACCAGGAATGAGACAATCGAAGCTCCACATAAAGGAACCTTCGAAGAGGCTCGCAAAAGAGGTTTTATTCCTAAACAGGAGCAACCTTAAAATGGTAGTGGGGCTCCTTACGGAGCACAACCACCTCAATAGGCACCTAGAGCTCATTGGGATCAAGGATGACCCCCTTTGCAGATGGTGCCTGGAAGATGACGAAACGTCATCACATGTCCTCACAGAGTGTCCAGCACTGACGCATCAGAGGAGGGCTGTCCTTGGCAACATAATTTTGAGGCCAGAGGACGTAAAAGAGATTCAGCTGAGGAAGCTGCTGAACTTCTCCAAGGCAGTCGGCATACCCAGCTGAATGTCGTAACATGTGGGCGCACAATGGGCCCAAATAAGGAGGCCCACGTGCAGGGGGTTCACCCGCCCACTAGTGCTTCGAAGAAGAAGAAGAAGAAGAAGACAGTATAGGATGGCGTAATAACCTGACATGCCATCGTCTTGTTATATTCAACTAGGTAGGTATTCGTTCTACTAGTTCTACTACAGCACACCACTATACTACTGTTAGTGAAATACACGCAAATTCGAAAGATTTACCTTACATAGTTCTCATAGCAATAATCACCTTAATTCTACAAATACACGGAAAAATGAGAATTCACTGTTTCTCATTCTCAACAGTGACTACCATCATGAGTAACCAACCCCATAGAATAGGACTTGACACTTGACAGTTGAAGATTGGCTCACATTCATGTGCGGGCTATTCGAATTGATTAGTCCAGACCAATCAGAACTATGGAACTTCATTGTTGATAACTAGCGTCTAGAGACAGGGTACTACAATTAATCATCGCGGTGGGGGAATGCTACAGCCAGAGATTAATTTAATGGATAATCTGCAATAGTATGATTCATTTTACAACTGAAATGGCATATAATACCTGCAAAGATTGACTGATATTTGATTGCACGACTTTTTTCCTGGTGATAAAAGGTAGATCCAACATTGTTTTTCATATTTTCACAATCAAAATTATTGAAATAATAAGCTGCTCGTTGATTGAGATTTCTGTCAATAAGTTTTCGATGAAATTAATGAGTATTTCAAATCAGATTCAGTGATTTTGCAATATATAATAACCTTCATTATTTCCAAAGATATATTTCTGAACTCTCAGAGTTGCTTTGATATTTGAATAGTTGTAGATAAAGTATAGTATTCTACTCGCCAGCTGGGCTGGTGGCCGTGAGCGTAGAGTCGCTGGCTGTCGCCCAGGCGGTCCGGGTTCGATCCCCGGCGCGAGCACTGAATTAATTTTCGGTAGTTTCGTTGGGCGGGAGGAGATAGGTGGCCAACCCAACATTCTTGGTACCTAGATATCAATCCTTTGGACTGTCCACGGTTACCAGCCGAGTAGTGCTTCGGATGACACTTAAAAAGCTAAGGTCCCCGTCTTCTTAACTCACACAAGTCTCTGACTTTCGAGGGTTGCTTTGCAACTAAGCTGGCGGTTAAAAACACTTTTTTTTTTTTTTTTTAAACACTCGCACATAATGACTATTACCCACTCAGATGATTACAGCACTCGCCTTCGGCTCGTACTGCAACTTTCATCTTCGTGGGTAATAGCCATCATTATCCGCTCGTTGAATAATATACTATTAGGTTCCTGACGACAGAGTGGAGTAATTGAATGTCAATAATTCATTATCAGTCCACTCGCCTATTAGAAGAAATTGAGGTTGAGTGCCAAGCAGTCCACTTCAAGTTCTGTGCCAGCTCATTTTCATTGCTCACCTGTTGAAATGCCCCTTATCATTTTTCTTGTCGTAAAAAACGCGGTCCTTCTTGAACTCGTCCTTATGGTAAACCTTCTGATACCCGCTCGTTTTCGACCCTTTATCGTGACTTTTTTCGCTGGCAAACGATCCGCCCTTATTGCCCTTAGCAGCCTGGCCGTGTTTGGAGTACTGGTCGGCTTCCTGCGTGCGGCCAGTCCGTCCACCTCCAAGGACGTCGTAGAAGCGGCTCTTCGAGTCCTTTTCGTGATGCCCTTTCAGCCCTTTGGCGAATCCAGAGAGGTCGGAATAGCCCTTTGCGAATTTTTCGCCGTCGTTTGAGTTTCGGGAGTTAAGAAAGTTGGAACCGCCTGCTTTGAGGAAGCTGTAGTCGTCTGTGAAGCTGTGGAATAAGGTGGATTTTTTCAGGATTTTTTCATACCACGAGAACTTCAATTAATACCGGGAATTTTTAAGAGAACTTATGAAAGCTCTGGAGTGCCAATGGAAAAAAATAAAAAGTCGAAATTTCGACTTAGGAAGTCGAAATTTCGTCTTACCAACTCAAAATTTCGTCTAACTAAGTCGAAATTTCGTATTAGTAAGTCGAAATTTCGTATAAGTAAGTCGAAATTTCGACTTAACATCTCGAAATTTCGACAGTCAACTTGAAATTTCGACATGATTGTTATCTCGAAATTTCGAGTTTTCATGTAAAGTTATATGAAACTGGCGTTATCGATGGTTCTTTGCCATTACAAAAGACATCTAGATCTAGGTACCCACGACGAATGCCAGTTTTGGTTCACTGTTTTCATAGTTTTTCAACTCAGATCTCTATTATACAGGGTGTCCCGAAATTAGTCTGCCAAACTTCACCAGCAGCTTCTTTGACCAAAAATAGGAAGAAAAGTTCCAATGAACATGAGTCGAGAAATGTCTCCTAAGGGAGCTATGGCCTCCTGAAGATGATATTCCTTGAATATTTCCGGAACGCCACGTGATAAAATGATGCAATTTGGTACAAGAACTAAACTTTCCATGCCCAATGCGGTGAACATAAAATCATTTCAGAGTTTCATTCAGGAGTGTAAAATACAAGGTGGGACAACATTAAATATTGCTCAAACTTTCTCGTATGCATATTTTTTGACAATTTAGTCTCGGCTTATAAAAATCCACACCATTTCACAAAAATAAGTGCTCTTATTTCGCATTGATCAGATGTATCATTTACGAGTGAAATCGATTTAAAAATATTGATGCATTCACATCTTATGCATAACGTTGCCAATTTTCAAATCATAGTGGCTATAAAAAAATCAAGTACTTTCTTCTCACCAAAAAGTCTCAAAAAAGCGCAAAAAATAGGAAAATGATGATGAAAAAACTACTTCAATTTTTGTGAATTATTTTCCATTTCCACTATGCCTTTTATTGCAATGGTATGCATAATATCTGAGATGTAACAATATTATTAAATTGCTTCAACTAAAAAAAGGTCATTTTTTTATTACATGGAGTTTTGGAAATACTCAAGAAATATCATCTTCAAGGGCCCCCTTTCGGGGGGCCATAGCTCCCTTAGAAGGCATTTCTCGTCATATGTCCATTTACAGTTTTCTTTCTATTTTTGGTAGTGAAAGCCGCTGGTGAAGTTTGGCAGGCTTATCTCGGGACACTCTGTATATGAGTGTGAAGATTTTGAAAATGAGGACATATTTTCAACTCGCTCTAAATAATGAAGAGATACTGCATGTACACTCGTCTTCAGCGAACATGTCGCGGTTGGTCGGTATGACCGCTCTTATTGCAGCGGTGATCAAGGGAGCTGACACCGTCCATGTGCGACATTATCTCTGAAGACGAGTGTACACAGAATACCATTCTGTGGCTGTGAGCTTAGACGAAATTTCCAAATTTCGTCTTACATAGGACGAAATTTCGAATTAGTAAGACGAAATTTCGAGTTAGTAAGACGGAAATTGCGACTTGGTAAGACGCAATTTCGAGTTACTAAGACGAAATTTCGACTTCCTAAGTCGAAATCTCGACTTTTTATTTTTTTTTTCACTGGCACTCCTGAGCTTTCGTACAGAGAGGTCGGAATAGCCCTTTGCGAATTTTTCGCCGTCGTTTGAGTTTCGGGAGTTAAGAAAGTTGGAACCGCCTGCTTTGAGGAAGCTGTAGTCGTCTGTGAAGCTGTGGAATAAGGTGGATTTTTTCAGGATTTTTTCATACCACGAGAAGTTCAATTAATACCGGGATTTGTTTGGGAACACGAATATTTTGAAAATTATCCCGAGTCGAGGACGGTTTTTAATTCAAGCTAGGGTTGTATTGTAAGAAAATTGCACACCGAAATATATTATTGAAAAAACAAATACTATATAGTAAGATTGCGATAAATGAAATACAAGATACCAACTTTCGTTAAAAAAATTATCAATAATTAGGCAGCTAGTTGTTGTTCGATCCATAATTCTTGACTAACTTAATGCCACTAAAGTTGGTGGAATCATATTTTGTTATAAGGAACTGAATGAATGAATGAAGTTCACATCCATACATTGTTTTGTTATTTTGATTGACTCGGCCGTTACTTGATGGAAATCCATGGCAAATGTAGAAATGTGGAAATGGAAATCTTATCGTTTGTGAAGTTTTTACAATTGTTTTGTTAAGTGAAACACAATCAACTTACTTTAACACAAAATAATAAAAAACAAGTCGAATAGTAGCTTAATTTCTTAGTTTTTCACGTATTCGTTTCTCTAAAATCGGTATAGAAATACATTCTCAATTTGCTCACGTTATATCCTTCAGTTATATTAAACAAAATTGAACGACTTTAGTTAAATAAAATAATAATTCGATAATAGCTCATTCTCTCAGTTTTTCACAAGTTCATGTAGCTGAAGTTGGTAGAAATATAGTCTTTCGAGAGGAACCTATCAAATTATAGAATGAATTTGACATAATCTGATGGAGTTGAATGTAATTGTCACTCTACCTATTAACGTCAAGAAATTTCCACTGTAATTTCATGCTCCTTCGCCCAAGGAGGAGGATAACATTATCGGATATTTGTTTAGTTGCTATATGGTAAAGATACGAAATGAAGGCTTCTGATTGGTCGAAGATGTTGGGTGTGAAATCTTCATATGTAATACCACAAGCGATACTATTTTGCTGCGAATTACATTGTTTATCAAAAATTTCAAGCTTTAGGCAAGAAGTATTGCATGAGCGAAATGAAAGCAGCAAGCTGGAGTAAGTCAATCGATAAATATTTCCAGGAAAAATAATATCACGAGTTGTATTCGTATGACTATTTCATGATTGAGAAAATAAACGAGCGCCTCTCGAGAGTTGCGCACACTGCATCCATCATTCTGGCTTCCAATAATTTACGTTATATACAAACGTCATCAATTTTATTCCTGAAAAATGAGGTTGGTTGGTCACGTGTGGGTCAATTCGGCTTCTGGATTGGTAGAGCAAGTCCGATAATTTTTAGTAAACAAATAATACCGCGTTGATACAGTAGGACCGTGAAAATGATTTATTCTGATTCTGGTTCTCGAGAACATGAGTGGAATAGTCATGTTATGTAATACCTGAAGTGATACTATTTTGCCGGAAATATTCGGCGATTATTTAGACAGCTTGTTGCCTAATAATTTCGCGAATGACGTTGTTTATCAAAACTTTCGAGCCGTAGAGGCGCGAAGTTTTAGAACAATGTCATGAGTTGGGGTATGTCAATCAACGGATATTTCCGGGAAAAATAATATCACGAATTGCATTCGTCTGACTATTATTTCATGATTGAGACAATAAACGAGTGACTCGCGAGAGTTCCGCCCACTACATCCATCATTCTGGCTTCCGACATACTTGAAGTTACAAACGTCAAAAATTTTATCGCCGTAAAACGAGGTTGGTTGGTCACATGTGAGTCAATTCGTGTCGTATACAGGCAATATTTCGCATATTTGACAAGATAATTGGAAAATTCAAAATTGCATTGAATGCCTAATGACATATAAAGAAATCTATTACATTTGACAGTTCTCTGTAGCTACTCCGCACATTTTATTTTCAAATGGCACCCCCTGTATATCCTCGTTAAAAATTAGGTGTCATTTGGAATACAACAATAGCGTATACTGGGCGTTTTTTTATCGATAACAATAAAAATATCAACATTTTGTGACTTGTTTCAAGTTACTTAATTATATCCTTATCAAAATGAAAAATTGCCTCCGCTCATGTTTTTAGTCATGTCAAAATGATTTTGAACACTTGCTGTGATTTTTAGTTTTATTTTCGATTCGTATTGAAGATATTTTAGTTGGAATTTATACATTAAATATTGCTGTTTTTGTTGTTATAATAATGAAAAAATAAGAAGTGAATATAAGTAACGAAGTCTTTACAGAAACATATTGATGAGAAAAAAGTTATATTTTGACTAAATTTTGTAACACCCTGTATAATATGTTGCCAAGTGGATAATTTTCGCATCAACATCGGCATTGAATGCACCAATTCATGTAACAAATTGCTAGAAAATCTCGTGTTGCAAACTGATTTTTCAGAGACCTGAAACAAGCTTGTCTGTCAGGAAACCCGAAAAAGTAATTTATAGTTCGGACAGAAGTTCCAGGAAAATGTAACATCCCGACGTGAAGAGTTGATATCTTCTTCGCTAGAATGTTGGAAAGTTTTTCAGCGGAGAAACCAACATTCATCTCTGAAGAATGTTTGTTTCTTATCATTATTTACTGCTTTTCCCAAGATTACATTCATCAAGATTACCCAAAAAAATATATAGCAAGCCAGAGTTTCTTTTCTCCTTATTCAATTCATTTCAATTTTAGCAGTTTCAGATAGCATCAACATTGATCGTAATTCACATTGTAGAAAGGATTTCTATAAATGGCTAGCTGTACCCTCCGCGCGCTGCTACGCTACTTACTAAAATACAGATGGAGGACAATTGATTTCTAGAAAATATTCTTTCAGTTGAATATTTAACAACACACTTTCATTATTTTATTTTCTACTTCTGTTTAGATTAACTAACCATAAAAGCGTGTTTTCTTAGCTTTTCAAACCACTATTTATTCTCTACTGCTTTTCAGTTATCTATCTCTTCAGTTTTCTTAACTACTATCTATGTTCTACTTTCTTGTTAGTTTGGCTATCCATGAAAGCGTTTTCCATTAGTTTTTCTAAACACTATTTATTACAAAGCTCGTTTGACATATTGAACCTGCCATCATGATTTTTTTAATTATGACGAAAGAATAATAATATCCGACCCCAAAAACCCTCATCAGATACAAAATTAAAATATAATTGGATCATAAATAATAAATATTTTTGTGAACTAACTCGTTCTTCTCATTTTATTTTTGGGGTTGAGTTGAAAAACAGCTTTCTGCTGATACTCCGCCTATTCACCATTGCAGATAGGTATATAAGGTATGGCAAATTATCTTTGTCTTTTGATTTTTTATTTGTGCAATTTTGTTTCTGCAAATGATGAATAAAGACGATTTATTATTATTATTATTATTATCATTATTGAATTTGTAAGCCATATCGGATCTTTCATCTTGAATTTTCAAAATTTGACGGAAGAATCATAATCTCCGAACCCGAAAACCCCCATATACCGATTCTGAACAGAATCTGATCATATTTACGAAAGTGGTCCGCCATATTGGATCCGCCGTACATTGAATTTTTCAACTATGACAAAAAATCCTAATCTCTGACCCCAAAAACCCCCAAAAACCAAATTATATCAGGCGCTTCCTCGCGGCCGCATCATAGTCGATTGGTATCACTATGGTATCATTGAACAATGTTATCATGGGGTGCTTTGGACATCGTTGAATATTGGGAATGATCAATACAAATTGTAGTGGTTACTAGTTATGAAATTCTGAAATGAATTATTCGTGTCCGTGGTCCATTTAATATTCAATTCTAATGATAATTTGATGTAAGATAAACATTCAGGTTTCAAATAACAAGAGAACTGAGAAATATATCAGAACAAATAATGAAGCGCTGCTAGCAAGGTGAATAAGTGAGGATCATTTTTCATCAGCTATAATTCACAATTAGCGTTCCACTGGAAAAAATCTGTAGGGTTCCATATCAATGGATATGAAAAAAAAACGGTTCATATTGCCGAAAGAAAAGTGTCAACTAAATTTCAAATCGCTAGGTTAAAAATAAGAATCAGAAATGTATGCGAACTGGGACAGTCTGTATAATAACAGATCAAGTGCAAGTATATCCAGTACTGCACGCCTCTGAAGTAGCAGTCTCTGAATGCGTTCCAACATAGGACATTTTTAAACATAAAATTTGTGTGGTCCCCTGTCCAACTCCCCCAAAACTGGGTTTTCATCATTTTCGAAGTAATTAGGGAAGGAAATAAAGGGCACTGGGACGAAATAGCGCAGGACAAAATAGCGCGGACAAAAGAGCGCAGGACAAAATAGCGCAGGGACGAAATAGCGCAGGGTCATAATAGCGCAGAGACGGAATAGCGCAGAGACAAAATAGCGCAGGGTCATAATAGCGCAGGGACATAATATAGCGAAAATGGAGTGCAGGATCTATGATTAGGTTTGTTCGTTTGTTAGAGTAAAGACTCATTCTTCAAATACAAGGTGTTTCAAAATGAGTCTATACCCTAGCAAACAAACTAACCTAATCATAGGTCTACTTTAACAATCCAACGGCATACCTAGTATTAAGTTACTTTGTTTGTAAGGGTAGTCTCCTTTTGAAACATCTAGTATGTGAAGAAATAGTCTATGCCCTGACAAACGAATTAACGTAATCATAGATGATGCACTACGTTTTCGCGTTCAAATTTGTCCCTGCGCTATTATGACTCTGCGCTATTTTGTCTCTGCGCTATTTCGTCTCTGCGCTATTTTGTCTCTGCGCTATTTTGTCTCTGCGCTATTTCGTCCCTGCGCTATTATGTCCCTGCGCTATTATGACCCTGCGCTATTATGTCTCTGCGCTATTTTGTCCGCGCTATTTCGTCCTGCGCTATTTTGTCCTGCGCTATTTCGTCCCAGTGCCGAAATAAAGTGTCTAAAAAGACAGGGACATGCCAATTTTCAACAGATTTGGTCCGTTATTTCAGTCACAATTTTAGATACCTAATTTATTTTTTATACCTAACTTACAGAGGATGTAGCTCGAAGGGGCGCAAAATCTCATTTTGACCCCAGAAATATGTCCTTTATATATTATTCATTAATAAAATATTCTCCTGAAAGGAAACCAAATTAATTTCATTTGACATTTTATAACTCTTTAGCATAGACAAAATGTCTCAAGCACTCTACGAAATATGATCAATAGAGAGATGACTTTCACTCTCATGATTGAGCTTTTGTGTTAGCAAAACATATTGTGAGAACATTTAATCGTTTTTTCAATCACTCTGGATTTTCATAACCTAGGTATATCGACAGAGTAAATTAAAAATTCCCATTTTATATCTCATTAGTACGTGATTGGAAACTCCAAGTAACTGACATCACGTACCTCATATCTGCTATATTGAATTTCACATCGTTTTTAGTCAGTCGAATTTCCCACATTTTCCGAATATACACCATCAAAACGTCATTTTTATTATATCCCATTTTTACCGTTTTGCAATGCAAATAAATCAAGTAGGGGATACATTCGGTGACAGGAACAAACGTATATTAAAATATTTCATTCGGCTGGATGGTATTTCCTAAATCCCTATTTCAACGACGTCAATCAAAATGAAACAATAAGTAGTGAATGGAACTGAAATAACGAAGTTTCTCAGATTTTCGAGTTTAACAAGTTTCCATAATTATAATATTAAGAATTTCCTCAATTCCCAATTCATTTAAATCAATTATCCATGAATGTTTTTCTAATTTTGACAATTAATTCGATACTTTTCAAAACATACGGAAGTTTTGAAACGTCTTACTTTACCTAACCAGCTATTGAAATTCACGATATTTCATAACATGAAAAACGCGGGAAAACTGGTGACGTAATTACCCGTGAACAATTACAATCATATAAGATTCGACTTACGTATGCATTTTCTAGTTCTGTAAGACAAGGGCACGACCATTTCTGACTGTCATTTTCTTCGAAATGAGAAATGCATTCTTTAGACTGATTACTGCAGATAACAGAGAACACAACACACAACTGAAGAATCAAATAATCTGAAGATTATCTTCGCATCTTGACATGATTTGAATATGACGCTGACAGATGATATTGACGTTGAGAAGTTGGGTTGACAACAGTTCGTCTCCTTCTCGTCTTGTATTTCTGGGAACTCTAGGCATTACGCTGTTGCCAGGACCATACAATAATAAAATCTATTGGTACTGAAGCATCTTGCGAGTATTCAATAAGTGATTATTGGGGACCAGGTCTTCTGTGAATTTGAATACTGTTGTTATTGGCCATATTGAATCTCATAAGGTATAATTACTAGTTACAAATATGGCAGCGTCGAAATATGTGGTCCTACTTTTTGTGGCAAAGTCAGAGTTCAGATAACGATGACTTTTGGTTCGGTTCATGACGTCATCAAAGCTGGCGTTTCTTGAAGGAGCCGAACTTAATTATTGAAAAAAATATATTTGCGATGATTTTAAGTAACGAATGATTGCATATAATCCTATTTATACACGGAATGGTCAATATAACATGGGTTTGTGGCGTAAATTCGACTGGTTCGTACAGGATGGGCAAAATTGGTCACTTTTAAAAGGAAAGTCCTATTTCCCAACTAGATACAAGAAAACTGATGTCGGTGTCTGAGGGTCGATTCTCAAGCATATCGTTATTTATCTTCGTTTCGGAGTTACAAAGTGTTCCTCGAAAATCGTCATTTTTGAAAAGTGGCCACAAATATATTTTTTTTATGTTGGTTCTCATGGAAATAACTGCAAAGCATTCAGTTTTTAATAAAAATCATTCCTGGGGCACTGAAACGGCATTTCTATATCTTGTTCAAGAATATTACTTGTTCTTCTTGAAGAAAAAGTTCTATTCTAAAACTAGGTATATGGTGACTGATTTCAGTGCCTGAGGTTCAATTTTCATGACAAACTCAATGCGTTGGAAATGTTTTTATGGACACGAAGAATTTGTGATGAGATTCAGCCACTTTTCGAGAATTCATTTTTTCGAAAAACACCTTGTAACTCTGAAACGAAGATAGATATCGATATGCGGTTCTTATCATTAAGTTTGTCATGTGGATTGAACAGGCACCAACATCAGTTTTTTTCTATCTAGTACGAGAATAGGACTTTTCCTTTAAAAGTGTCCAATATGGCCCACCCTGTACAACCCCATTCTGTGTTTTGCGGGATCTTGTTTGGCAACTCACGCAAAACCCTATCGTCACACAAAATGACGCTTTTCCTAAATAGTTACGTAAATGTAGATTTTTGTAAAATGTGCATTTTTAGAAACTGATGCTCACCTTTTGGAACCGTCATCCAAGAAATTGTCGTATCCCTTGGCATAAGGGTTTCCATAAGAGTTAGCAGGCTCATAGACAGCCTCGGATGGTCCATAGTTCGGACTCAAGGGGAGTTTTTCAAGAGGCACTGGGTCGTAAGAGTATCGGCCCACTGACGGTCCCGATTTGTACTCCTCGAATTCTTTCTCGTAGTCTGATTTTCCATCCAATGGTGAAATAGATTTGACCTGAAAAGCAGGAGGATTTTGCAACTTCCAGAGAAGTACTCAGAACCTTTGTGTATATATCTGACGATGGGCTATTCATCAATTTAAGCATGTCATCTCATAGGGCTGTTGTACAATGCACAAAAAATGCAGCGAGAGACGAAGCAATCTGATTTTTCAGGTAGGGACATTGATATCTAAAATAAGTAGGTATACTAAAGTCACTCAAATATATTCTTCATATTGACATTTTGTGATTTCTCATTGGAATTCCTTCTGCAATAGGAGCTAATATAAATACTCTTGAAGTTTTTAAAAGAAGGCTAGAAGATTAGATTAATGCAATCAACTTTCATGCTGACTAAATATAATCGTGCGTGTTGCGCAGACATTTTCACTCTATTAGCAGTATCAGCTTCTATTGCAGAAATGGCAGATTTATGGAATTCTAATGAGAACTGACAAAATTCCATAATGGAAACCGAAAACTATGTGAGATCACTATTTTTAACTGAAAAATCCTATTTCTTCGTCTCTCGCTGCATTTTTTTTGCATTGTACAACAGCACAATGTGATGGCATGCTTGAATTAATTAACAGTCCAAAATCCACGATGCCATAATATTTTGAAAAACTATTTCAATTCATTGATTCCTCTGTAAAATAATAAGAAAAATGAGCGTGTGTTTCAATGCTTTACAGAAAAGTGAGGTTATGTTTCAATGTTTTACCTCCAGACCTATTGGTATACAAGATTATAGAGAAACTATGTGATCTCGAATGTCTTCTATCAAGGATATTAATCTAAAAGAACACACTTCATGGAAAGTGAAAGAAATTCATGAATAAAATATTATTTCCACATCAGCAAATCTCAGAGAATCCTTTCGCTCTGACGTTGAAAGATTAAATGTGATAGTGAGAATAGGCAAGCACAGCGGAATGATAAAAGGCATTCTGAGATTCTGAATCTGGAATATTTGTATGCTGACTTTGCTTTCATAGAGACTAAAAATACTCAGAATAAATTCAGTTGGCATTAGGAAAACTGCAAATCATATGAAAACGACCATTACTATTTGTTTTTATTAGGGCTGAAAAAGAACAAAATATATGATTTCATAAATAGGAATATAGCTATACTGAATGAAGAAGCATTTATACAGGGTGATCCAACTTCTTTTCACCTCGATTTTAGGGGTTTTATGATCGATTTCTGAAGCACAGCCCCCGGATTCTGAATAGAAATGATATAGGTGTTGCGATACCTCATTTTGAAGATTTCATACAATATACTATCCGACCTCCTAATTTCGAGTTAAAATTTGCATCGATAACGAAATGAGAAATAAAATAGTGGAAGAGGCAATGTCGAAATCGCCTAGAAAATGTTATTCTCATTAGAGTAGGATTCGAGAATAATTTATTTATTCATTTATTCTTGTCACAAAATAGTTTATGGACACACTATCTGTTCGATTTACCTCAGTTCATCGAGAATATTCACTTATAATCTCCCAAGGCACAAAATTATCACCGATAATTTTTTCATGGTCTTGTTGATAGAAAAGTATCCCGAGTTGAAGATGGAAATTAATTCTGCTGCGTGGGAGACTCGGTAAGAAAATGTCATAAAATTGGAGTTGCTTTCAATATGATGACGAGATGAACCCCCAACCCTATTCAAACTCCGGGGGTTGTGCTTTCCCCTGGTGGAGGATTGAGGTGACGGGGATGAAGAAAGCGGACAAGTCGTTCATCCTCGAATCAAAAATCAACGGGTCCGAGCGTTTTTCTGGATTATCATTTTAAAGCACTAAAATTAGGGTGTTTTCATTGGACCACCTTGTACAATTTTAAAAAATCAGTTGGCATTATATGTATAAAAACTGGAAAGAATATGTAGTCTGATGCAGTATCTTCACTATCTTCACTATGCGTTATTAATAATGAATGAAAAAAGCAAAATGAGAATGAATGAAAATACACTCAGTATAGGCTCGAAAGAGCCTTTGTAGTCCATGAGTTTTTCTCATTCAACATTGTACCAACCTGATAAGAAAATCCAGTGGCCGAAGCTTCTAGATCTTTGCTTCCGGTTTTTTCGAAATACGTAGTACCTCTGACTGGTCCAGAAAGAACAACAGCCAATGTCAGAGCTATGGCTTTACCCCAATGTCCCATTGTCCTTTTATGGGTCCTTCAAAATCAAAACACCTCGGAGGGTATCCTAGAAAAGTATAGTGGGAATTGTATCAGCAATGAATTTGCTATAATTGAATCATATTTTTTGCGCAGACATTTTGATGTGAAAGGAAAGCATTAGCAATGAATGAGCATATAGGTACAAGTCATACTCTTGTTTTGCATTTATAGTAAGAGACTACGTTAATGGATCCATATAAAAGCATACTTTGCAGCCTTTGATACACGTTGTTTATTTTAGCTTTCATGATTCCCCTTGATAAACAGGGTGATTCAGATTCACAACGACACATTTTGACACGATATAAGTCTGGGAAATAGTTGTCATAAATAGATGGGTTTCACTATTCGTTATACGCCGTGCCCTGAAAATCATTTTCCGTAAATAATGAGAGAGCTTAGCAAAAATTCCAGATAATTTTATGAAACACTTGGTACCTTTTGTACAATGAGAATGATTTCGGAATTGGAGAGATAAAAATCGTATACTGGCAAAATATTTTTCTGGTATTTTTATGGAAAAAAGTTTCTATAAATATTTGTTGAACCCTGAAGATTGCTTTTCCTCGATGTTTCCGAAACCGCTCATCCCAGAAACTTGAAATTTGGTGAATAGCATAAACTTTTGATGTTGAATCAAGATTTGAGCTAAGATTTTCAGTATGATATCATATTTATTATTAATTATTTATTAATATTAGCAATTGAGTATACAGTTTTTTTATAAGGCTGATGCATATAGGAAAATTTATAACATCAAGAGCGTATATTAATGTAGAAAATTGATTATTATAAGATGAATGAATCAGGATAATATGATCACCTAATATTCTTTATTCCAATGAAATACTCAGAAATTATATTTTTCCTATTGTTTCACTTCTTAGTCTAATAGTCTCCGACAAAAATGCTATTTTCTTTTCCTGTTATTTTTTCTGGATTGCCGTTTGTTAATGAATCCATAGTTAATGTGAAAAACATCAAGAATGATAAGATTTCAACAGAATTCTTAATCACACGGCATGTTTCGCTAACACAGTATAGCTTCTTCAGGTGATTTACTATCGTAAAATAAACTAAACCCCTACTAAACTGATATTGGCTTGCCTAATTTGTATATCCTACTTTTCCAACCTAAAGGGTTGAAATTAGGCACAATATTCTACATCAAAATTCGATGTACCAGATTAACTTGATAGCAATAGCTATTTATTATACAAGTGAAAAACGTTGTAGACTTTAGCTCTCAGGTTGTGTTGTCTCCTTAGCGGAGGGAGACAAAAAACCGTGAGCTCAAATCTAATATTTTTCCTGTGTATAATACACAGTTTTTTCTGTGACAGAAAAAGGAACGAATCAGTATTGGGAAGATATTACATGATATGAAAATCAGAAAATTATTGACGTGAACTCTGTTTCAACAAGCTGGAAAAATGCATGTTATGTTCATGAATGCGGCGATAGAACGTTCGACCGGTCTGACCAATATATGTATATATCTCAGGACAGGATTCACAGTTAAGTTGTGTGGAACTCTTATCGTTCGTGAAGTTGTTAACACAAAGATTATCATTGCAATTGAGCAGAATCCAATTTTAACACTTTCAATTGAACAGATTGTAGTTCATCAATAAAATATGAAATGTTGATAAAAACTACATGAACACTGATATAGATATGAATGAGTTTCTTGAAAAAAAAAAGAGACTCCAGATTCCAGTTTGAGCTGTGGTTCGATACTAACCTTGTGTATGTACTTATTTGTAGAATTGGGTGTATTCACCTAGTTATTTTCAAGAAACTGAACTTTTCGACTATGAATTGCTGACTGACAACTTTTCATTCGGTGACATTTATATATGTGAATTGAATGATTCTTGTGTTGTGCAAGATAGCTCAAGTCAAGGTATCTCAAAGGACGTAGAAAATCCCAGCGAATTTGTCTTGACAGAGCAGCGTCTAGCCTATTTTCATGCTCGATCGGCAACCATGTGCTGTTAAAGCGCACCGAAACCACAAAATTTCATCATGGAATTATCGATTTCTCACGCTCATTTTGACGGTTGAAAAAAACTAAGGGTCATGATCATCATGAAAATAATAGAAGAATAACACAGATGTATTACACTGGGTCCCACCGATTTCGAGGTTGACAAATTAGGCAAAAGTAGAGTAATTTAGGCCTCATCGATATTATGTCGATTGGCAAACTGAACTACTTTCAGCCATTCCTGTAATAAACAATAATGTGCTCAATTACCTTACATTTTTGATGATTTTCAAGATGCGATGATTTTTTTCAAAAACAACCGATTTGCAATCGGAATGAAGTGTTCAGAAGATGCGTTCTTTCTGTTATAAACATTCATTGCTCTTACCATTAGTGTAAATAAAAAATCAAGGCTCTTACTAAAACACTGTGCTGTTATTGAAAACCCATATTATCGCAATGAAGATGAGAGCATTTTCATTAGTAATATCATGATGTTCTGAAAATTCGATATAATTCTGTCGCTTCCTTGTTCACTGAATTGTGTTGCTATAAGGCAACACAATTATTGAGTTAACAATGGAACACAAAATTATGAAAAGATATTCAAAGCAGAGCAGTGGCGGCTCGTGACTTTCATGACAGAGGAGGCTGAATGATATGAGATTTATTGTGAAAAAAAACTCTCTACGACTCACCTAAATCAATTAATAGCTTTAATGACATTCTGTTTACCAGTTAACCTGAACTTGATACTTGAAGAGATGTGTTCCTGTGATTTGCAGTGTCTATCCAATCCGCGAGGTAAATTTTTCGAATCATTATATCCTAATCGCCCCCAACATGATGACTTATCGGTTGAAAATAATAAGCAGTACCAACAAAATAGCTTATTCCTTACCCCAGATCCCGTCAACCAGATATATTTTTTATAATTATCAGAATTGAACGAACGATTCTGTTTGTTACCTGTTACAATCAGATTTTTTAATTCCGGTGTCGGACGTTTGTTTTTCACAATCAATTTATCTTCATAAGACAAAGCACTGAATTGGTTTACCAAAAAGTATTCCACTAAATCGCAATCTTTTAAAACACTCATTTTTCAGAAATTCATAAATAGAGCCCCTAACCATTAACCTAACATAAACATAAACGGATTGTCCGCAATTCGCGACGCGACACGACAAACACGTGCTATTTGGTTCGGGCGTATTCGGGCATTTGCCTCTATAGATGTTGCCAAGTTGAATATTTTACGCGTGATTTGCAGACTTCAACGTGTGATGCGTGGGCAAGCACTGTTGCAAATTCAAAAATATTTACTTAAAAACAGGAAATAAAATCAAAATCCATGTATTTTGGTGTCCTTTTAATGAGAAAGTATAGATAATATCAGTTTATGGAGAATCTCTGAGGAGGCTCAGCCTCCGTTGCCTCCTCTGAGGAGCCGCCACTGAAGCAGAGTGGTATTTCAGTGAATCACAAAATTATTTCATGATGTTGACAAGGGCAATCCATCTGAATGAAATTCTCATAATTTTACAAGCACATGATTGCAGGCAGCATCAATATGAGACGATTTCCCAAAAAATGCTCATTTTGTTGTTATCTAAATTTCTGCTGCCTTTAAGCCAGGTGAATATTTTCTTAAGAATGTTTGAATATTCCTTGACCTTTTTTAAATCCTCATAATTTTAAAAACAAAACAGGAATGAAAGATGTTGTTCTCTTGCAACATTGCTTTAGTGGAGAAAATCAATCAAAATGATTTGCCACTGGTTGATATGTTTCATATATTCGTATACTTTTCAATATATTAGTTCGTGCGTTCCCAGAGATAAAAACAATCTTTATTACATAAAGGTAAGCATATTATTTACACCCCTTTATTAGCCTCACCTGTATGTATGTACATACATATGTATGTAACCGTCTTCTTTGGACTCGATTTTGACACACTTCAAACAGACCGGCAGGTGTACATGATTCTAGTGAACATGCATCATGAAATTTTTGTTAGACAAAAAACCAATATGGCGGCTTCAAAATGGCGAAATTAATTATGATCCAAATCTGTATGTGGGGGTTTTTGGGATTGAAGATCATGATTCTTTTGTCAAAATTCGAAAATTCAAGATGGCGGATCCAATATGTTGGACAAATTTTGTGATAATATGATCCGATTCTATTCAAAATTGGTATCTGAGGGTTTTCGGGGTCGGAGATCATGATGCATTCATCAAAATTGGGTACTTGCAAAAAATATAAGAACACGAAAAAACACGCTTGTGTAGTTAGCCGAACTGAAAAATAGAAAATAAATAGTAGTTTAAAAAACAAAAGAAACACCCTTTTATAGATAGCCAAACTAGAAAGAGGTAGAAATTAAAATAATGAAAGTAAGTTGATAAATAGAACATGTACTGATTACGGAGGTGCTAATATTTTGGTTGTTGTGTATTCATCATTTTATTTTCGACCTCTTTTTAGTTAGGCAACCTATAAAAGGGTGTTTCCTTAGTTTTTCAAAATTCTATTCATTTAATAACTATATTTTCTGACGTTTGTGGATTGCAACTGCGCTAAATACTTTGGTGATATCGACTATTTTTTAACGAGGCGCAAATCTTCATCATAAGTCATTAACTTATATTTTTTATTGTCGTAAATTCAGTTCTCGATCACCAGAGGCGGATCAGGGGTATATTGCACCCTAAGCTGAACCAAAATTTGCGCCCGCCCCCCCTTGGCCTTATTTGTCTTTTTCAACACGAACATGAATTATGAAATGAGAAAACAAAACAATTATGAGAAAGATGAAATATTTTCAAATAGATGTTTGTCCCATTACATGTCAAAAAACGTAAAATAAAAATATTTTATTTATCACATAACAATCATAAAATAACTAAAAAATGTGCAATTGACACAAAACAATCCGTCAATATGACATTATCAACAAGATTTCTTTCTCGCTTTTGCATGAGCAAATTCATTTACAATTTCCGCAAAGTCTAATTTCCGAAAAATTTCGTTTTCAATGGCAAGCAATGCCTTTGAATCCAACATTTTTTGTGACATTGTGGATCGCAAATAGTTTTTAACTTTTTTCACTACAGAAAAGGATCTTTCACCGCTGCAATTTGTCACAGCAGTGCTTATACGTGCATCCTAAGGGCAATTTCGCAATTTGGAAAAACTCCTCTCATACTTGGCGCCCTTGAATATTCTAGAAACTCGATCAGAAAATCGTATATATTCTGGATGTTTCTTTGAGCTATATGCATTCGTTCTACAGTATACCCTATTCCAAATCATTTAGGTACAGTTTGGTCAGCTCTGAACAATGAGTTTTAATTTCATCATTGCTCAACGAATGTAATTGAACGAAGAAGCCGAATGGTCGATTGGCAGTTTCATAAGCCGTTGGTCTTCTACTCAATTCGTTTTTCAATTTATCGACTAATTGAATAAATACATCAATTCAAAATTTGGCTTTGCAGTCCATTTCAGATTCGTCTGCAGCTGTAGTTGCCATTTCTATTTTATGAAGTATGATTTTGCGCCCCTCAAATCTTGGCGCCCGAAGCGCTCGCTTCTTTTGCTTCCTGGTTACGATCATCAAAGTAGTATTTCGTGCACTAGATACAAAAACATATATCTTATTCGTGAATTTTCCTTCGTTCTTCGTTATTTCAGGAATAGGTCGCACGGATCCACATCAGATTAGTTTATCCTAATGAAATTCTCTGAGAAAATAACCCGTCTGGCGCAGAAACTTTCCTCCTTATTAAAAACTAATGGAATGAGAAGGCCTGAATTAAGATCTGAATATTCATGATGTAGCAGAAGTAAAAAGTATTTCTGGAGTATGAATTTAATTATGGGAGATTAAACGGTTTGAAGCTGTTCCACTGTTTGAACAATTATTAAGCTTTAATGAGATTCCATCAGAGGTCTGTGTGTTTTGTGAACCTTCATTTTTTTTCGACTCTTTCTACGGGAACATGAAGACGCTTGTTTATTTTTATAACTGCTAGCAACACGATAAATGTCCTACACGAAAAAGAAAAAGGATTTGTTACATGAACAAATTATTTTGTTGGACTGAGCAAATTTGTGTCGCATACAACAGATACATGATCATTTCAGAAAAGCGGTTTCGTTCAAATCGAGAATGTACTTTGATTAAATCAACAGTATATAATATCAACAAAATCTATGGTCATCTCAAAAACAAATTTTGTTGGTCCAAGAATAATATCGATGTTGATTCAACGATATACAAACGATATACAGTGTGTATCGCTTTTCACGAATTCACCCTGATATCTCACTCATTAATGGTGCGATTCTCTTGAAATTTTTGTAGTAATCGATGATGAAGTTAGAATAAGGAAGTATTTAGCAGAATGAACAGTGTCATTCACCATTGGCGTGCGATGTTGGGGGTACAAAAAATGCCTTCATTTGAAAAAAGGATATTAGGACTCATTTCAAATAACGTTTTTTATCAGATTTATAATCGGCATCCCCAAACCCCCCCCCCCCTCATTCATATTTTCAAGATCTGAAATAGCCTTGCATCAGCTGAAGAGTAGTAGAGAGAGACAAAACTGTAACTTTTTCAATTCTTTTCCGATTTTGGTGAAATTTCGACCATATCGTAAATTCATGTTTCAGAATGTTAGTCTGGATATTAGTTTCTGAGAAAAGCTGATGTATTGATCATTACACGAAGTATATAGTATTGATTCAAGAAATTTCTGGAATTTCACATCAACAGAATTTAATGTCGAAAACTAAAATCGACATCTATATACACTCACCGGTAAAAGAACCGGTAACCAAAACATTTTCCCAAATTTTTCACCCTGTTACTCTTTTTCAATCAAATCGTAGATTCATGTTCCTAAATATTAACCCAAATATTAGGTTTCATTGTGAGCTGATGACTTCATCATTATATA